TAAAACTGGCAGCAATTCCTGTTTTATTTAATTCTCAACTTGATCCGTCTTCAAATAAGTTATAATAATATTATGCAATACAATATTTACCAATTAGTCATACATTTTAAACTTAGAGCTTAAAAATGAATGCTATATTGTATATCCTCCTTGACAAAGTAAAATAAATGTTAGTGCTTCCTGGAAAGAAAACATTTTATGAAAATATAAACTACTCCAAAGAGTTGCTTCTGAAAAATAGCAATGAAATGAATTATACTTATAGAATGATTATAATGTAAATATTAATTAAAGTTGTTCCACAGACATTGCTCCAGAAGCTATAGAATGGGTTATTCAATTTATGAAAAAGATATCTATAAAAGAGTCTAAATTCAGAGAAAAAAAGTTATGCTAAAAATAGGTTAATTTAAAAATGCCCGTTTGTAGAAAATATTTATGGCACATATCATTTTGGAGATTATTAAAAGATCTAAAATTCTAAAAACTTTAAAAACATATTGAAAGTTTATTAATGAGAAGTTTGTTGATCTAGAACAAGTCAGGGGGGTTATTCTCTAATTTTCAGTCGAAAACACATAGCAATGAAATCGCCAAGCGGACTTCTCAACAAAGCTCAATCGCCAAAACAACAAACATGCGATTATGGTGTTCTCTAATGCTAGACGATTTTGCTATTCGTAAGTCATTTTAGTTTTTGTAATTATAAATCGTAAACGCTGATTGGTCCAAATATCCAGGGTTAGGATTTGAATGTCATTTTGACATTATAATTATAAACTTTATTAGAATATAATGAAGCCAATTCCAGAATTATAAGGTATCAATAACATAATAAACAGCATACATTTGCTGATACGAGTATTTTAATATTCAAGTCATAATATTTAGGTCCATATTTTAATGTTTAACTTATCTACGTCCGAAAATCTTAGACTTATATGTCAAAATTTGAAATGCGAACAGCAAAATGCTATTCATGTATAATTTTTTTGAAAGCACTTTACTTTTTTCAAATACGAACAGGACTGTAAGTAAAGAATACCAAAACATTTGTATTTTACACTTTTGTTAGTTGTTTGTCATGTTTCTAGAGAAACACGATCCACTGATTCAATTTTATTCTTTTTTTTTATTTATTTTATATTGGATTTTCATATTTTTTTATTTTTGACTTATTTAGATCAGTTGAGTGGATTTCTTCCACTCTGTAAACTGGTAAAATCCACTATGTCCTCTATCAATTATAACCTTATTTTCATTCATTAAGTCCATAATAGCATTAAGTGACTTTAATGGATTTTTTAGACGAATCAGACGAAAACAATGAATATTCAAATACATCTGAACATGAACTCAATATAGTATTGATATTAAAGTAGAATATTATTATGCTAATATATTATGAATGCCAGTTTTTTATTGGAAGGGTAATAAAGATAGAAAATAACATCGTAGAGATAAAATTTTTGTATGGTCCTAAAATTCAGACTTGGATCTAATACATAATACATTTTTTATGGGCCCCAGAACTTTGTTTGGAAATGAACCGTTCTATATTAAAAACAATGTTCTAAGAAAAATTAAATCTGTTTACCGTTTGTTGAAAATTAAAAAAACAAATGTAAAAACTTTATATTAAAACTAAAGCTTTTTTTAATAAAGTCCTATTTGATTTTAATTAATAACATATATTGGAACCCAAAAACTCATAATTAATCTTAATTCTACTAGTAAATAAATTGTTTTTTCATGTGGCAAATACTGGATTTTAAGTGTGGCAAATATTGGAATAAACAAAAATTTATAGTGACAATTAGTGATTTTTGCCAGAAAAAAACAAATTTATATAAATAAGTTATTAATAAAGGGCTTCCTGAGTGCCGAAACTAGTCCAAATTATTATATTGAGTCATTTAAAACTACAGTTACTATAGTATATTGTGTCACAAGGGCAGAAAATGAGCTTTAGCAGCCCACGGCTATTAGCTACATGAGCGAACGAAGCGAAGCATGGGCAGCTGATAGCTAAGGGCTGCTAAAGCGTTTTCTGCATGTATGACACAATTGTTTTTCGCCTACCAAAAAGTTTAGTTTGACTTAAAAATTCTCTATGTTTCTCTATGATAGATATTATTGTAAAAGTTAAGACAATCCTTTTTGGACATACCGAATAAAAAATTGGCTGCTACTAGCTGCAACTTTTAGAATATATTTTTTTCAGCTATGTACAGATTCAAAAAATAGATCTTTTGGAAGTGTGGCTACATGGGGCCGATAAAGATGAAAAAAACAGGAATGTTTTAAGTTTTGTAAAACAAAAGCTTCAGAATAATAAATACTATCAGGCACAATGGAAAAAAAGATTATTCGCATTTGTATAAGTTTTGAAGCACAAGATGACAGGCGGTTTCTCGGCGTAAAGATTCGTACAAAATGCTGACTGGCTGAAGGAGGATTTTATTCTTGAGTTAAATGAACCCCTTTCATCCATATCATCTGCCGGCCGCCCACGATTATCATTTTCGAAGCAATCCTCCAGAACTCAGAGAAGAACGGCCTCAAAAGTTGCTGAGGAACATAAGCAGGACTGGGCTTTACTTGTGCAGGCTGCCGTTAAACCGGCACGTCAACAAAAAAATAAAGGTGTTGCAATAATTTTACAAAACATAAAAAAACTTATTTCTTCTTCGGAAACTCCGGTAGTTGCCTATACCGCAGAGGAAGCACTGGAAATCATCTTAGATTCTAGGTTAAGCAAACAGCAATATTTAGATATAAAAAGCAGCGCTATTATGAAAAATTGCAACTTCTACCCAGATTACAAGAAAATATGGCAAATAAAATCTAGCTGCAGACCAAGTGGAATTCAGGTCACGGATGTTATTGCAGAAGTTTCTTTAACGAACCTTTTGGAACATACAACAAAACGAATAATAACTTTGCAAAAAGATGTTATTTTACAGTATATAGACTCTCTGAATATGGTAGAAATAGACGCTGAAATAATTTTTAGTTATGGATTCGATGGTAGTTCTGGATTTTCCATATAGGTATAAATAGAAATTTGAAAGTTCCGACACCCAATGGGATGCAGATGCTTCGCTGTTCGCTACTACAGTCATTCCTTTGCGTCTCCAGTCCATGAATATTGTTTTGTGGAATAAGAGACCATAGTCTGTAAGATTATGGATGGAAAAGTCCTCAACCCGCTGACAGGAAATAAATCTAGTCAATCTTGCCCAATATAAAAAATTTCAAGAGTATTGTACCCAAACAGCAAAGCTTTATATGTCTGAGTATACTTGGTATTCGATGCCAGCAATTGTACACAAAGTACTTGTACATGGAAAAGCTATCATAGAAAATAGTGTATTGTCAGTTGGATATTTTGGAGGTCAGGAACAAGCTATATAAGCAGGACAGACAACTTGATACAAGAAAACCAGCAGAAAACATAATTTAGAAGATATTTTCTTTAGGGCACTATAATATCTAGCATTAACCTAGAAAAAAGAATAGGCTGTCAAACTAAATTAAGTTATCCTGCTGACGTGCTGACGTACTTACCCACTTCGTGCACCTGAATTTACCGTAAAGAATTTGATATGAAGGACAGTTTGCAGAGGAGATTGGGAAAGAAAAGAAAAACGGTGAGGAGGAACAAGAAGAAGAGCAAGAAGATTTTTTTTTGGATAGCAATAATTCAATGATTAATCAACTTTCCTTTTTTGAATTAGATACAGAAGATGATTCATAGGGCGGCTTGTGACCAAAATTTTGGGAGTTCACAGTAAAAGAATATAGATCCCGGTACAGATATAGGTAAAAAACTGTCAGTGCTTTAGAAAGGTACATTATAAACTTTCTAAAATACTGAAAGTTTTTTAATACATCTGTACTGATACCTATATTCTGTCACTGTGAACCACTCCACGAGCCGCCACTGGGTAAAAGTTAACACATGTTAATTGAGAAGTTTTAATATAGCATTATTTTGTTAATTTTTTATTCTTTTATTAAAAACACAAATTTACAGTAATGTTTTTCCTTTACACTTTGGCCACAAAATCATAGTGATATGCTAGGCGAAAAAATATTTCAAATCCGAACCTTAAAGTGGCAATTACTGGTACATTTATCCTAAATAGAACTACCTAAAAGTCAATTTTTAATTCATATTTTCGTATCAAGATTGTAATTATAAATACGGGCCTGTCGGGCCTGTATTTTTAGTTCATATTTAAAATTATTTATAATTCCTAATACAAAAACAAGTAATTAATAACAATATTTCTAAATGTTTCGATAGTATGAAATTCATTTTCTAAAGAATAAAGAAAAAACTTGAATATGTCGATTTTTAAACTTATCGGAGTATCTAATAGTATTAAAGTTTCGGTAAATCTAATAACCATCTTCAGCCCAAACAACAAAAGGAGTCGTATCTATAGCAATTTATTGAGAATGTAATTTTATGGGGAATTCAGCAGTAGGGTCCGATTACAATTAGAAGAACACAGCTACGTCATCATTTGGCAAAGTAATTTATTGGTTATCGCCTCCTATTGGGGGTTTAGTGGAGTATTAATATTATTACTTATTTCTTGACGTAGCTGTGTTCTTCTAATTGTAATCGGACCCTATGACTATTCATTGCGTTACTTTTGATTTTAGCGCCCTCTAGCGAGATAGATACCGTAAGTATGGCACTTCATTTGAAAGCTAATTTTATTAGCATTTTAATGCGTATTATAAATTTGTTATTAGTTAAGAAATACGAAGCCGAGTACGAATCCAAACCTAAAGCAATACGGGGCTTACACTATAGAGGTGCGGATTATATAGGTATACATATACTATATATTAACTTCCTGGGGTATATATAGATCACCACTTCAATCATAAAAAAGAACACGGTTAGATCGTGAGAATAATGTAAAAAATAACAACAGAAGAAAATAGCGCTGCAGAAAAAATAAAATTTAAATGTTTCCTACCTTTCACATTATTTTTATCCAAAAAGACGACCACAAATCCTCACGTCAAATGCATATTTATCACGCAAAAAAATGCACTTATTTGCGACATTAAATTTCTTAACCATCCGGAACGAGATATTACATAAGTAAATTATAATGTCTAGCTGGAATATTTTCAAAAATAATTATCACACTATTCTTGCAAGGACATAAATTCGCTGAAATTAAACCAACTAAACTATACAACAAAATCGCGAGGAATTAACGAATCAGCAACACCTCGTAAAGTGTACAAATACAACGTGGAAAGCGATGTGATAAATAAATAGTTTTCTGATTTCACTTAAATGTTGTTAATGCGACGAATGCTGATTCGATTCAATATAATAACCGTGCGGTTTTCGGTATGGACTTCCTTCGGTTCTTTACAAGAAGGAGAAAGGTGGGTTGACTTCCGAACGTGAGATGCATCGGTGTTAAATTCATTATACAAGGGGCTTGGCACGGCATTCTACATTAATCCGACAATTTTTTTTTACTTGGTCGAATGGTGTAGTTAATTTTGGCATATTAAAAAAAACCCGATTTCCTGACATATTTAATGAAAATTCCGGACATTTCTTTAAAAATCCGGGCAAAATAAGGTTTATTCTGGTTCTCAAAATGAAAACGGTTTTGAAACTGCACCGGACCGTGTGCGTTAAGACAAAAAAATCCCCGATTCTTTGAAATTGTTGGAAAACCAGAACACATTAAGGTGTTTTGTTTATTGTAATAAAGCAGTTTTTGTTATTGTAATAATCGTAAATGTTTCTTTGCTTGGTGCATTTATTATTGTTATTCCGAATTCGTACAGTGTCATACAAGATGTTTTAAAATCTGCAAAAATATACAGGGTGTCCCCTTTAAATTAAAAAAGTTTAGGGTATTTCCGGTGAAACCGGGAGTACAGTAGTAACAAAAAATATGGCATCAGATGCGTTATACGTCATTGTACTTGCCTGCAAAGTTTTATAAATATCGTCCTTTTCGTTTTAAAGATATTTACTTGGTTCCATACTTTATCCCAACCCTGTATGAATGGATATCATTGTTTCGCAAATAAGTATCTATATTTTTATGTATATATTTTAGAAGTTATAGAATACATATTCCATAACTATACAGTTAAAATTTTATATAACATGCGACAAGAATGGCTTAGTGGAACCCAAGAGATACACCTATATAATAATGCGTTTTTGGAATAACATGTACATAACTTTTTTTAAGATCAGTCTCTAATAATAACAGAATAGCACAAGTCTTATAATTGCAATGTTATAATAAAACACATATTAATTAAATAATCTTTTTTGTTGCAAAAAATACATTTTTAGTAATTTTTTTCAATAGCCAATTTCTAAATTACCCACAATTTGTTTCAAAATGTCTGTGTAAAACGTCTAAACAAGCTGTCTCGGTCATTTGCTATATGAAAACATTTGTTAAAGGCTATAGTGACTGTCATCATAATTCGAAGTATAAAAAATTATTAGTGTGGTACAGGTTCATATGACCGTCACCTCTTGTGACCATGCTCCGATTGGCAAATAATATTAACACTTGTATTGATGTAGATTGGACACTACCATTTAATATATTCCAAAAACTTGTATTTAATTACTCTTGATTAATTATTTACTGAATAAGTTGTAATATTAATTGTAATTACCTACTGTTTATTATTAATATTATTTATGTATTATAATACTTTTATCCATGTAATAAGTCCGTTGGCCTGTTTGGATACAAATAAATAAAAGACAGACACATACTGGTCAATATGATCGAAACAGTAGTTGCATGTCTTGATAAAAAAAATTAAATACCCTAGGCTCTCAAATTATCTTTTGGTGAGAGTTTTATTTGTTTAATAAAATACTTTTATTATTGTAAATTTTGATTATCTTGATTAAATAGTAAATATGTTAAAATTATTCTTTAAAATTGTACTTTTTTTTAAGTATACTAGCTTGACCACTTGATTAAAATAATAATTTTAGGGATAAGGTATTACAGAAATCAAAGACTATGTAGATATATGTTCATATAGTTTTATAAATAAGTTAACAAAGGCCCTACCTACGGCTAATATACACAAAACAGATTTAGTGGTTATTATTTTTAATGGAAGATTATATTAAGTAGATATATACATTATTTATCATTTATTATTATTGAGTACAGAATTTTTAAGAAGACTCCAAAAGTGCCATCAAACTCTTCAAAAAATAAATCTGCAGATTAAAGTGAGAACTAAACAGTATAAAAAAATATATAAAATTTCCAATTTTGATGGCACTTTTTAAACACAAGACAAACAAACAGCAAATTATAAAGCACAATATTCATTTCCAAAAAACAAGAAATGATTTACAATTTGGCTCAAGTCAAATTCAACCCATTAAATAGGAATATTTTTACAACAATCTTTGTTAAACAGAAAGCGACACAAAACTGTTATATTGAGTAATATTCCTCTTTAATATATCAGCACAAAGACCCAAAACTCTTTCAAATCTAGCTCTATCGAGCTTTACACACTTTAGAGGCCCAATTGCTACAACTGTGGCAGCTCTAGGTCTATCAAGCAACAGGGCAATTTCACCAAAGTAATCACTGGGTCCTAAGCGTCCCACCTCTGTGGGCTCTTCACCTTCAACTCTATTCTGCTTAACGATAGCAGTGCCTTCCACAATAATATAGAAATCATCTCCTGGTTCACCTTGGCAAACAATAGTTTCGTTGTCTTCAAAACTAACAGGCTCCAAAGCATCAGCAACAGTTAAACGTTCCCACTTATCCAGATTTTCAAGTATAGAAACACGTGACAAAAATTCTTCATACATTTTTCTTTTTCTTATTGTGGAACCCATCAAAATTCTTCTATAAGAATCTCTGTCTATGCCCCACAGTTTAACATCAGTTTTAGCTTTGACAGTAGCGGCACGTGGAGTCCCGTAAATAAGAGCTAACTCACCAAAACTACCCCCTTCTCCAATTGTAGTAACAAGTTCATTGTTTACGTAAATTTCTACTTCACCTTGATCGATCACATAGAAATTATCACCTTCGTCGCCTTGTTGAATAATGGATTCACCGGGAAGACAGTTAACTGGAAACATAGCATCGAAAATATCTGACCTCTCGTTTTCATCCAAGTGTGAAAAAAGTACATTTTTAGCTATGGCTTTAGACAGGGCAGCCATTGTTTTGTAATCTTTGGGCACTACTTTTTTCACATAACTCGTAGCATCTTCCTCGGACACTGGTTCTGCAGATATGCCCCCTCTACGCCGGGCTGGCTGCTGGGTGTGAGCTGGTAAAGGAGACAAATCTTCTGTATCTTCGGGAGACATTATTTGCTGTTTAGCATCCAAAGCTTGTTCTCGTTCCAGCTTCTGAAAGTGCTCTCTCAGAAACGAAATAGGATTCGTAGGGCGATTTACACAGAGCTGCACGATACAATCCTTGAGAATTTGCTGTATATTATGAGCTTGGACATATGCCTCGCATTCTCGGAGAGCTTGTTCTTCGTCAACATTTGTTGTCATCTTTTTCCTTCAAACTAAAAATACGACTATGTTCTATTTGTGGAACTCAAAAAATCACAAAAATTCGTCAGTTTCGTCAGATAATTCTCAAAATAACACTTTCCTCTGTCATCTGTGACTATATTAGGCTACCTAAAGGGGTGGTTATCGAAATGGGCGAATCAACTGCAGAAACTATTTTACATTGAATTTAATCAATTTGATTGGCCAGAGAATGACACTCAAAATTTCTATTGGTTGAAATATAATATTAAGATTAACCTTTAAAAATTCACAATGACAAATTAAGTTGTCATATTTCTTCATTCTTAAAATTACGAAACTCTTTCTTTAATATATATCAGTTAACAATTTAAATTTGAAATACCAAAAAAGTCAAATAGTGATATTTGCAATGATTGTGCATGTTCTAAAAATGCACGGTTTTATTGTACATCCATAATCAGTGGTGTCTAGTAAATAACTATTATGAAAAGAGAAAATTAAACCATTGGCTGTATATATATAGAAAAGAGGTCCAGAAATTCACTGAAGATGGTTTAAAAAGAAGATTTTTTTAGGTTAGAAGTATAAGAAAAAGAAAATTTAAATTGGATTCAATCAAATTTTAAAAGTAGATTTTAATAAACTTAAATTGTATTAGGTATAAGCATTAGTATCTACGGGATATAAGTATAATATTTAGTTAAAATGTTATGCTTAAGGAAAATATCTAAAACAACCAAAGGTAACATATTTATAATTATTTTTACAACAACTATAATACAATACAATATCTTTATTTACCTGAGAAAATATTACATTTTATGGCTCGTCAAATTACAATTAAAACTAAATATATATATAATAAAATTTACCTAAATATAAAATTGAAATTTACAAACATTAACAACATAGTTCACTGAATCACTTAGAGGCCACAGTGACAGCCTCCATCTGTATTGATTTATATTCCTCTAAGCTATATAGGCAATTATTGGATAACATTTGTTTTAATGCATGTTTAAATTATTTATCTATAGGCTGATTTATAAAATTAAGTGGTAGTATATTGTATAGCTCAATATAATGTTTCTTTGCCCTTTCCAGTCTATACTGGATAGGGACTAAGTTATCTTTGTGCCTTGTATTATAGTTATGGATATCTGAATGGGAAAAAAATGTATTAATATTATTTCTTACGAATAGAAGGTTTTGATGGATTATTACTGCATAGTGTCATAATTTTAAGTTCTGGGAATACTGGTCTACAACTGGCTTGCCAAGAAGCACGTGTTATGGCTCTTATGGCTGATTTTTGCAAAATAAAGACTCTTGAGACGTGTGTCAGCAGCATTGCCCCAACATATTGTCCTGTATGTCAAATGACTATGAAATAGTGCATAGTAAGCAGTAATTGCTGCATCTTGACCACATATTTGGCGTATTTTCCTGATAACAAAAACTGCTCCTGATAATTTGGAACAAAGTGCTTTAATATGGATCTGTCCATCTGAGATGTGGATCAATTTGAATGCCAAGTGTTTTAACATAATTGTTATTAACTTGTTCACCATTTACTGTAAATAATTGGGAGATAGTTTTTGTGTCATTTAAAAACAGGTCGTTTACAGAAAACCATCTCTTTGCCTGAATCATGACATGAGAGTAAACTTGATCATGATCTGTTCCTCTTTTAGTATTAATACAAAAAGAAGTATCATCAGCAAATATACATACGATAAGGTTTTCAAAATGCATATGGTCAAGAAGATCATTAATGTATATCAAAAAGAGTAATGGACCTAAAATTGAGCCCTGAGGGACACCTCTTCTGATATGCATCAATGAACTTTTGTAATTTTTGATGATGACTGTTTGACATCTGTCAGTTAAATAAGATTCAAAAAGCTGTAAACAAATCCCTCTTACTCCATACCTCTCCAGTTTTGATAACAGAATTGAATGATCCACAGTCAAAAGCAGAGCTTAGATCTGCAAATACACCTAAACAGTTTTCAGCTTTTTCAAAACAATTTTCTATATATTGTACAAGAGATAATACTGAATCTATTGTAGATCACCCCCTTCTAAAACCATACTGGAATGGCGTATGTTGGAAGAATTTAAATATGGTATTAGATTATTATACATAATTTTCAAGATTTTAGAGAATATGGGAAATACAGCAATTTGTCTGAAGTTGCAAGGCTGAGAAGGGTCTCCTTTTTTAAATAGAGGATAGACCTTAGCAATTTTCATGCTATCAGGAAATATTCCTTCAGTTAGACAAGCATTTATAATTATAGTTAAAGGTTTAGACAAAAAAGAAATACATTTTTTCATTATAAATACATTAAATCCATCAATATTCTGTTCTTTTATTTTTTAAATCTTTTACAACTGATTCTATATCGGTTTGGGTAACTGGCTGAAAAAAACATTGAATTTTTAATTGTGGTATATTTATAAAGTAGCAGGTATATCTGGTTTCTCTAGATTCTGAATTATGTTTTCTGCATTTTTTTTTTAATTTGGTGTCATCGGCGTTGACTACTACGGCCATTAGCCTTGTGTTCTGTGTAGGCTTTATTACTGTTTCCCAGCGCCACTTTAGGAATAGCACTGTTAATTAGAACCCAACAGTGAATGGTCGAGTGGGGAATCCTACCAAGGCATCAGAATTAATTTGAAATAATTAAATTAAATAAAAAAATCCCGGCCAACGGTGGGATTCGATCCTGAGACCTTCCGATCTCAAAGTCATGACTCTAACCACTGAGCCAACCCACCCCCCAATTTTCTGCATTATTAATAAAAAAATTATTAAGATCTTCAGGAGTTAAATTTTCTGGCTTTGTATTTGTTTTATTTCGACCAATTTCTTTGTTAATAATATTCCACAAAGTCTTTGCCTTATTATCAGAATTTAATTATATAATTATTGCAAAAATCATGTTTCGCTGCTCCCAAAATTTTTATATATGTTAATTTATAATCTTTATATAATTGAATATTTTGAGTACTAGGATGTTGTTTTTGCCATTCATGCAAAAACAGCAATCTATTTTTTGCCTCAGTAATTGTGGGAGAAACCCAATAAGAGCCCTGCCTTTTATTATGCATTTGAGGTTTGGATTTAAAACATAGAGGGTGTCCCCAAATTAGACGGTCATATTTTAACAATGTAATCTACATTCTAAAATAGGAGTAAAAGTTCATGTAAACATAGGTCCAAAGATGTTTCTTTTCCGAAATACAGGGTGTTAAAACTTTTGTAAATATTTTTTAAACATTTACAGATAACTAAGTGAAATGTAGTACAAATGCTTACCTTTTTATGCTCTATTTAATGGACCATACTCCAGTTTTTGATCATTAGGTAAATTAGGGGGCTTAGGGTAAAATTGTTTTTTTTGTTGAGACTGGTTTCTAATTGTTGTTGGAACATTAACAGACAAAACAAACTACAGTAAAGTGTCATCAATAAATATTATGTAAGGTTTGTCTGTCAATAAAACTATTGGTTTTTAATTTGAATTCCAAAACCTAACATTCCTAAATTACAAAGTATTCACAAAAAAGGAAATATAATTTTAACTTTACCTTATTATATTTTTTTTAACTTTTATTTACTTAACAGAAACACAAATTCAGTGTTAGCAATAAACAAAAAACATGGAATATCTACATATGTGTAGGAGAATGGATTTGTTCCAGTAGAAGACCCCGAAGAATTATTAGGTTCTTAACTTTTATAAATTAGAAAACTTGACAATGTCAATATATTTTATTTACTAATCAATAATAACAACTTGATTATTTTACATAAACAATAAAGATTATAAGTAAATAAACTAGATAGTGGATCAGGTGATTTGATAACTTCCAACAATATGTACACAAGAAGACATTTTTTTTGTAGGATTGAGGGTTTACTCTTCTGTAGTTAAACAAGCCAATCATGTTAAGAGAACAAACATTAACAATTTACGAAAAGACGTTTTAGAATATAGGCATGTTTATCCAGAATTTTTGCCAGATCCTAATATTGAATTTAGAAATACATTACGTGAAAAATTAGAAAGAAATGATATGCTTGCTAGAAGAAGTCATATTAATATTCCAGAATTTTATGTGGGTAAGTTTCATATCAAGCTGATTAAGCTATTATTTGTTAGAATAACAACGTAAAAAATGTAGTACATTTATGAAAATGTGTTTCATTGTGATGAATCAAAAGACTAATTATCTAGTTTTCAAACTGCTATTTTATTTAAGTAAGTTATTTTAGGTATTAAAAAGGTTATAAGTGTCGATTTAAATTTTATTTTCAGGATTGTATTGATTTATAAGCATGTCACAGCAGTAACTAGGTACATAATTTCATTAAAACTACTTTTTTATACCTTTAAATAATTTATTTTTAAAAGACCTAAAAATTTTATATTAAAATAAATGACAATGAGAATGGTTTGGTTCACTGATGTACATTATTTCTTAAACTAAATTATTTCTGTTTTAAAACCAAATTGTATGTATAGGGTCCATTTTGGCTGTTGAATCATCAGATCCTCATTCTTTGGGTAAAATGCATCGCTTTGTTGGAATCTGCATACAAAGACAAGGTTGTGGGCTGCGAGCACAATTTACATTAAGGAACATTATCGACCATCAGGTATTTAATTTAATGTTTGACTTGTTCCCATTAACATTCTTGCTTTTAAGGGAATTGAAATTTTATATGAAATGTATGATCCTGCTATACAAAAAGTTGAAATTTTACGGCTGGAAAAACGTTTAGATGATGAACTTCTATACTTAAGAGACGCCCTTCCAGAATACTGTACTTTCGATCCAAACATGGAACCAGAAATTTTACCAGAAGGTATAGCTAGATTTACGCTTTTATTTCAGGCTTCCAAAGTTGTTTTGTTTCGTTTTTAGGATCACCAATTCCGATAAATGAAACGAAAGTCAAACTCAAACCCAGACCGTGGCTGGAGCGTTGGGAACGGAAAAATTTGCTGGGGGTTCAAGATTTGGAATTACCGGAAAAATTCTATAAGAAAGCTGAAGCTGTAGCCAAGCCTTGGGAGAAATACGATTTGATGAAAGAATACAGGTACATGGTTTAATATTATGGACCGTTTAGTCCAACAGCTGATTGCAAAAAGTGGCACGTTGCTTTTTTGCCCAATATTTGTAGTTTGGTGTGGAGAGCATATTCAGAAATTGCCGACATAGTAGCTTCTCGAAACGGAATGGTGCATATAATAGACTCGTAAAATCCCGGTATGTTTATTTATTTACGGGCAACCCCATTTAAATTTATCATAGAACATTTAATGGAATTAAAGTAGGTGAGTCGAAGTTTTAAAAAAATATCCAGGTCTTTTTCATTGCTTTGATTCCGATGTATAATGGTGTACCCATGTCTCGTCCATAGTCAAACAATCACGGGAAAGGGTGAGTCAAGAGCATTTATGTTCAACTGAAAGCAACTTGGGTACCCATCTTGCGGACACCTTAGAAAATCCTAATTTGTTCACAATAACGTTTTGTGCTCGCTCATAGGAAATACCCAGAGTCTTAGCTACCTCACGGATTTTGATTCTTTGGTCACTCAAAAATCAAATCACAAATTTTATTGTGGTCACCGTTGAAGGTCTGTCATTGCTGGGGTCATCTTCAATGCTGTTTCTACCACGCTTAAATTCAGCTACCCACTTTTTCACAGTGCAATACGAGGGAGCAAAGTCTCCAATCGTCTCTATCACGTCTGTATGAATTTGCTGTGGTGTTAAGCCCTTTTTATGCAAGTACTTAATGACAGCACAATGCTCTATTTTCTCCATGTCAAAAATGTTGTGACTTCCGAAAACTTAAAGCCTCATAAACTCTTCACTTTAAACAATAGAGAAATGAAATTTTACACAGTGACTACCAAAGGATATAGCTATGCAACTAATGTATAAAAACTAAAATTGATAGCTTCCTTCCTAGTCAGGCCACGAACTTTTCAATCCATCCTTGTAGTATAGTAGAAAAAAAAAAATTAAAACCATTTCTGAAAGCCAATCCCATTACTTCCAATCCAAAAAATGACATACCAGTGAAATTGGCGTTGCGGAAATCATAACTATATTGTATTGCATTTCCCAGAACAAAGTGATGTTGTGGGATCAACATATCAACTAGGTTGTCAAATGCATTTTAATTTTCACTACTCTCTAATTATTATTGATCAAATATTTTAATGGTCCTTATTGAACAATTAACGACTTTCTAACTTTCAGATAATTCATGATCTTTGTCTTTTAAACAGAGCAAGATAAAACATTGGAATTTGGCAATTTATGCTCAAACTTTTTTCAAGGTTATTTCTAAGCAATTTAAAATTGGAGCAAGATAAATCGCTATTTAGAAATAAATGCATAAATCTGTATGGGAAAATTAATTTCGGACCAACCTGTATAATGTAAAAATTTCTTTTATTTTGAAATTGTAATTATTCTTGTTTAGGAAAACAATACCGGAGGAAGAACAACTTGAAATATTCAACGAGATCGATTCCAGACTGCAGAAGCTCCACGTTCAAGGAAAGAAAATGAAGAAACGTGTTTTTGTCAAACCGACAAAATTGGCTTAATTCTTCTCTTTAATGTGTAAATAAAAATATTAATTTCTAACATAAACAATAAATAAAACGAATAGAATTTTTTTTGTATATTTAAAAAATATATTCAAAAAGTACAACATAGTTTTAATATACAATGGGGCAATTAAAATAAATACAAATAATCGATAAATTTATCTCATTTTTTTTTATATAATTTACAACTCAAAAAAGTGGTACTTATTACAATATTTATAATGTCTTATTTTCATAAATCTTCGGCAGTTAACTCAATTTTATTTACAATAGAAAGTAACGTTTCACTCAATTTTCTATGATTCTGAAAAGAAAGAAAAAATTAGTCACAAAAAGCCAGTGCATCAGGTTCGAATAGATGTCAATATTAAGAAAATGTTAGGGTTCTTTTTGTGCGACGTTATATCGTTAACCATCTAATCTAGCAATAACACTGCCGAAAAACACATACTAACGTTTCAATGTCATTTGTCAATTTCACTCAATAACTGTCAATGTCAAATAAGTCATCGGTTATTTTTGTATTACATTAATTTAGGTAATTATAATTCACCTTTTTGAGCAAAATATATTTTCTACCCAGCAGTTTTTAACCCTAATTTTATTACTACGTTTTCTTGGTTCACGATCCAAAACTGAATTATTCAAGGAAATTCCACAGTTGTTTCACTAATAGAGTATATTTGCTTTTTTTGTTCCCTATGTACGTACCATATTTAATTCCAATTTTATTAAAAAATGGAAATAGAAAACCAGTTTTTCTTGGAAGATGACCAAGATATTTTAGACAATTATTAATTTTGGGTTTCCAAGACAAAATTATAAGACAAGTGAATATTTGATTTGATTGGATAGGGCTAAGGTGAACTAGAAAGGGAATTATGTCTACAAGGGTAAGGAATTTAAAAAGATTGTCAAACTTGACTAGGAATTGTGGATGTTAAAAATACAAGGCATTTTAACCCTAAAATAAACTAAGTACGGCGCTGTATAAATTTCAAACATGCCACATAGCTATATATCATAAAACAAGACATTAATTCTATGCTGTTACCATAAGAAATTAACAGAACCAAGTAAAAACATTGGGTAGATCACATAATCAAATTACGTCACCCTATTCTTTACCACAACTAAAGAAAGCACAAACTATCAGAATGACTCGTTTTAGTAGAAGACCTCCCAAAAACCACATTTCGTCACACATTGGCATCACACAAGTGTACCACCTAGAAAATATTTCTTCTCATCAAAAAGGGGAAAAGTACATCATTGGCCAGAAACGTATCGAAAGGCGTGGCTATAGATACGCCACAAACAGCAACATATACATTCTATAAAATAATTTATACAGTTTCTTTCTACATGGGTTAAGAGAATACAATTTTTGAACAAACACAATACATATCTGCAGAGATTTTTATTATATAACAAATTGTATCAAAAAACTAATTGTAACAGTATCAATCAATAAATTAATGTGTCAAACAAACTTCAGTTCACAAGAATATTATTTAAACTTCATCAAGATATTAACTCAAGACTAAAACAGCAGTTGAGATGTCTCACACTTCAGATAATTTCTTAAAAAGAGGAATATTGAACTAGTAGAAAACCTTTCCTCTTTCCAGAGGAAATTGTTAAGAAATTAAGAGATTTTAAAGGAATTGCGGACTAGAATTAGGGCCAGTCTTTTCACCTCGGAGTAAAGTTGTAAGTAACTACTTGCTGATTAAACTATAAGGCCTTTGTATGTTAATCTGTAAAATAAACCTACATGTAACTTTACTTAGAGGTGAAAAGACCAGTCCTTGGTGCACAAATTTTGATTGCCTTTCATCCTTTGGGATAGAATGATTAAAATTACCTTTAGATCTGCTATATTGTAATAAAACAAATATCAAAACAACGGACGGAAAATCTTACCTTTTGAATTACGACCTCGATCATAAATCATGACTAACTTCCGTTCTTATAGCCGGATTTGCTACTGCTGCTGGCATTGGCGGCGGCCATTTGCTGCAGCGAATTAATAAACTGCTTCTGAAACTCGTCCTGGAACCCGCCAGACAACTCATTTCTGCTGTTCGCATCGGTTCTGCTACAATGGGCGCTAGAACTCGTAGTTTTAGGCGACGAAAATGTTTTGTTGTAAGCGATCACCGACACGGGGGAACTGGAGCTATCGCTGTTCTTGACCGGCGAACACGACAATTTCTGCAACGCCTTCAGGTTCTCCATCACCATTTGGATGTCCTTTTGGCCGTCACCGTCCGATTTCGTGACTAGTGGAGATGAGTGAAAGATGGAGTGTTTGCTCACTGTTGGAAAAAGGAAATCAGTATTATTGTTTGTACCAATTTTTTTAAGCAACTTTATTTTATACTTTATGTGTTTCGGACCTCCGATCTACCACTAAATATCTAAGTTCGTTTAATACGATGTTATGTTTTAATTGAAGATTAAAAAAACCAAAAAAGGTTGACAGCTGTGTGCACGTAGTTTAGATTCAAAAAGGAAAAACTTGTATTTCGTGCAAAACTTTTTTATTAATGCAAAGCGCTTTCGGCTTATTTGCCATCATCAGTGCTCATTGTCCACAACGTATCCAACAAGTTCCTGGTCATCCTCACTCCCAAAATTATAAATTTCGGGATGTTTACACCTTGCTAAATCATAATTTTATTAATATTAATATTAATATTAATAAAATTATGATTTAGCAAGGTGTAAACATCCCGAAATTTATAATTTTGGGAGTGAGGATGACCAGGAACTTGTTGGATACGTTGTGGACAATGAGCACTGATGATGGCAAATAAGCCGAAAGCGCTTTGCATTAATAAAAAAGTTTTGCACGAAATACAAGTTTTTCCTTTTTGAATTTAATTGAAGAGACTGGTGCAAAAAGGACACAGCTCCATTTTTATAGTATTCTTCTTTTTATAGTGGAATATACTAATAAAAGGAGGCTCTTTTGATTGGTGCAAGAACGAGGCAGCTCTGTTTATTTATACAAGGGTTATACGGAATACATGTTTGTCCTCTACTTCAGTTCGGTGCAAAAAGGAGGCAGCTTCTCAACTTATTTTTAAATGCTGTACTTTAACGAAATTAATTAGAAGTGTAAAATTTTGACCGAATATTGTATTTTTTACTAAACTACATCCTGATGTACATAAAAATTTAAATATTCTTAAATTTAAATTGTTTTTACCTTCTCCTGAAAAATTAATAAAAACGGAATTACCACCTTTTTGCACTAGTGTCTTCAATTACTCTTTTATAGAGTTGAATCTTTGACATGTACTGAGAGATAATTTATATAAGATAATAAATTTCACAACAATGACGTACTCTTCTTAATAATCTGAAAGAAATAAGAATTCTTTAATATGTGTATCATATTATTATGGATCATCTGCACATTGTATTTTACTGAAACATCGACCTTGATATTAATTTCCTTCAATTTTTATATTTAAAACTCTTGTGTACATGAAACAAAATATTTCACAATTTCCCCGTAATTTAGAAATTCATCATTATCCTACTAGAATTGGAAATCAGTCACGTATTTCAAAACATGTCTCTGCTTTATATGAAAGAAATCTACAATACATCGGTGTACGCCTATTCAATCATCTCCCTCTCTCAATTAAAAACATAGTGAGTGACACAGTACCTAATAGAAAAATGTCTGTATAGCGTTGAAGAAGTTTTCATGTAATGAATGTTTTAAATGTCCCACTACACTTTATTTTTGTTGTTCACACTTTTTATTTCAATTTAACATAAATTATTATTTTTATAGGTTTAACTTTTAATTTGTATTTTCTTGTATTTATTATTATTTATTGTGACATTTCCTATATCATGTAAATGATCTTTCAGGATAAATAAACTATCTAATCTATCTATCTATCTATTGAGCTTATATTCATTTATAAGCAAGTTTATGTGTCAGAGACTGCTGGGCTTCGAATCCCAGACCAGACCATGTGGATTTTTAATTAAATTGCATGGTTCGGTATAGGATTTGATGTGTGCCGTATTAATAGAAATTCAATTTCTGTTGATATGACATGCAGATTATAAAAAATCGCCATACATTACCGTCTCGATGATGGTGGGTGAGGTTTTCCTCACCTGTAAGTCAAATGGCACCATCAATCATCTTTAACTCGCCCCGAAGCATCACGGCAAATAATAATATTAGCCGTCCCTTTCCCCGCACAAGCTCAGCTTTTGGGGTTAAAATTCACTCGTAAGGGGGTGAATTAGGGAGAGTATTATTATCTATCTAATCTATCTGGCCAAAACAAGTAAGTGTCTATACACTTATTGGAATCCAAAGCTTTATTCTTGACCTTACTCTGATGTATCTATAGTTATTTTATCTATTGCATTTATTGTATAAAATTAACTGTATTATGTATTTTATTGAATAAAGCAGATTATTATTATTATCTAATCTATATATCTATCTATATCTAATCTATCTGGCCAAAACAAGTGTCTATACACTTATTGGAATCCAAAGCTTTATTCTTGACATTACTGTGATGTATCTATAATTATTTTATCTATTGCATTTATTGTATAAAATTAACTGTATTATGTATTTTATTGAATAAAGCAGATTATTATTATCTAATCTATCTATCTACCTATCTATATATCTATCTAATCTATCTATCTAATGGCAACCAAAAAGTTCAGTCTTGCCCGTAAAAGGAACAAAATCTGTTAGTTGGTGCATTACGTTAAAGGGTTAAAACAAATAGTACTCACCTACAGGATAGAAATCAACAGGATTGATATCCGTTGAACTTCTCTTATATGACTCGATAACCTTCCTTTTATCGCTCGAATTCACTCCTCTCGACACGTTTTCGTCCTTCGCGTCATCTTTCTTCGTCGCCTTATCGTTCTTTACGATCACACCTCCTTCGTCAGTAGCTTTCGAACTGACGAACTCTTTCGAGTAAGCCTTGCTCGACGGCCGCTGCTCCATCGCGCTCCTTTCGTACCGGCTCTCCGAGTACGGTTTGAACATCTGGAACTTTGACAATTCGGTCGACGACGATGATGACGGTTTTTTCGATAAATCCGGCGACTTGTCGTCGGAGCTACTATGCGATTCGTGCTTGCGTTTCTCCGAATAACCGCGACCGCCGTGTCTGTCCCTATCCGAATGCGAACTGCGTCGCTCTTTGTTCGAATACGAATTGAACGAATATTTCGATTTATCCGAAACGTTCTTATCGACGCCGTCCGCGTACGGCTTGAACATTTCGTTGTGTTTCGTCGTATTTTCGGTGTTTTGTTTCTGTATCGAAGGTTCTTGGATGTACGGCTTAAACATGTCGTTCTTCTTCGCGTGTCCCGATATTTCGGGAGGTTTTTCCGCCGATAATACTTCCGGTTTATGCTTCAAGTGCGTCAGTACGTCTGACGATTTATCCAGCGTTACAACCTCGAGTTTATTATGTAATTCGCTTTTCTTCGAGTGCGCTGATAAATCTGATGATTTTTCCTCGAGTTTCGCGTGTTTATCGATTTTCTTAGAATGCGTCGATAAATCTGATGGTTTATTAAACGATTTGGTGTATTTATCGCTTTTTTTGGAGTGCGTCGATAAATCAGACGGTTTATCGAGCGATAAAACGTCGAGCTTTGTGTGTTTTTCGCTCTTTTTTGAATGCGATGATAAATCAGATTTATCCAGCGATAAAACATCGTATTTCGCGTGTTTATCGGTTTTATTTAAGTGCGCTGATAAATTAGACGGTTTATCCAGCGATAAAACATCGAGTTTTGCGGGTTTTTCACTCTTTTTTAAGTGCGATGAGAAATCTAATTTATCCAGCGATGAAACATCGAATTTCGCGGTTTTATTTATATGCGTCGATAAATTAGACGATTTATCGAGCGCTGAAAGGTCGAGCTTCGAGTGTTTTTCGCTCTTTTTTAAGTGTGAGGATAAATCTGATTTATTCAGCGATAATACATCGAATTTCGCATGTTGGTCAGTTTTATTTAACTGCGCCGATAAAGCAGACGATTTATCCATTGATGAAATGTCGAATTTCGTGTGTTTTTCGATCTTTTTTAAGTGCGATGATGGATCCGATTTATCCAATGATAAAACATCGAATTTTGCGTGTTTGTCAGTTTTATTTAAGTGCGTCGATAAATCAGACGGTTTATCAAATAATAAACCGTCTGGTTTGACGTATTTATCGCTCGATGTACTATCGGTTTTTACGTATTTCTCTCTGCTCTTCATTTGGGCTAATAAATCCGACGATTTGTCTAGCGATAAAACCTCGAGTTTGGCGTGTTTTTCGCTCTTTTTCAAGTGCGCCGATAAATCCGACGGTTTATCCTGCAAAGAAACATCGAATTTTGCGTATTTATCGTTTTTCTTTAATTCCGACGGCTTATCCGTCGATAAAACATCGTGTTTCAAGGATTTGTCGCTTTTTACTGATTGCGCCGATAAATCGGAAGGTTTATAAATCGATAAACCGTCTGATTTGACGTATTTATCGCTCGAAGAACTATCAGTTTTGACGTATTTCTCTCTGCTCTGTATCTGCGCTACTAAATCCGATGATTTATCCAGCGATAAAACCTCGTGTTTCACGGATTTGTCTTTTTTTTCTAATTGCGCCGATAAATCGGACGGTTTATCGAATGATAAACCGTCGGATTTGATGTATTTATCGCTCTGTGAACCATCAATTTTGACGTATTTCTCTTTGCTCTGTATTTGGGCTATTAATTCCGACGATTTTTCTAAGGATAAAACCTCGATTTTCCCGTGCTTTTCACTTTTCGGTGGTTTCTCGTTTTTCTTTAAAAGCGCTGACAAATCCGACTGGCCTTCCGGATTAGCATATTTTTCGCTTTTTAAGTGTGTATACAAATCCGTATCAAACGATAAAACTTCCGGTTTAGAGTATTTATCGCTCTTCTTCGACTGCGCAGATAAATCCGAGGGTTGTTCGACTTCAGATTTAGGAACATGGACGTGGTTTTCCATAACGTGATTTTTTTCCATCTGCGTGACTGGTTCTTTCGTTATAACGTCGCTGTTAACTTTGGTGACAGTAAGGCTGTTGGTTATTTCAATTTTTTCTGTACCGCTGCTCTTCCCGTTGGTAATCGGAGTGATGGAAAGATTGGAATGTTTCTGGGATTTCATTGATACGTTCGCTTTCGATGTCTTTTTCGAATTTTCCGCCATACTGTTGTAGACTTTGGTTAAGTTGTTCATGTACATCCAACCCTCGGGCCACAGAGGTAACACGGCAGATCGCAGGAATTGAGTTATTTGCTCTTCCAAGTTGTCTTTGTGCTTGCCTTCGAGGGCGAGGCAGCGTTTCTTCACTCCTAGGATGTCTTTCACCAGTTTCCTAAGAAAATAAGACGACAAAAGTGTTACAAAATAAAATACGATGAGTGCAAATGCTTACTTAGCTTCCTCGCTCCACTGGAATTTCCGCTTTGGCAGTTTAAGAGATTTCAGTTCTTCGTTATCGGCGCTCTCTTTCGAAAATCTGCCAAAAAAAGTGAATTAAATTGAAGATATAACTTGGCATTGACAAAAATGTCCGGAACGGAGTAAGGGCGGAAATAGATGGACTGTAATGTGGGGTTGTTGTCAACTGCACTATTCAATCGCATTTTGGCAATTCAGTTTCTTGGAGTAAACTAAGTCACACGTTAACATGCAGTCAACAATAGCACAATTAGACCAAAGCTAAAGCCTTTAAAAATGATAAAAAGTGAAAAAAAGTAGGATGAAATCCATTGGAAAAGAAAGAGAATATAACAAAAATAAGAGAAAAAATAATTTATGGGCGATCTGAGGTCAGGAAGTAGAAGAGGGTGAGTTTTTAAGGGTAAAAAACGGTTTATCTCGATTTTCGGCAAAACTAAAAGCCCTATGGAAAAAAGTTGTAGGTAATAAAAAGATCTACAAATTTTGTATTTACACTTTTTTCACATAACCTCAAAATTTATGTGAAAAATTCAAATAACCAAGTTTTTGGTTTTTTATTTTGGTCTTTTACGAATATTTTTTTCACGAAATTTGGTGAAAACTTACCTTTTTAGGTGCCAAACACACTAATTTTTTTTATTTAAAATATTTATTTTTTCACGATATTTTGACTTAATATCGAAAAAGCACCCTAATTTTCAATCGAAAATTCATCAAAATATCTGCTTTCTTAAAAAAGTTGGTGGGCTTTTTGTTTGTTCAAATCTCTACTTTCTGATAGAGTAAAAAAATATATATACATTACTATGGTAAATGTTTTCAGAAAATGCAAAGAAACGAAAAAAACTCGAATCCGAAAATTATTTTATAATCATTATGTACAATTTTGAGCTATTTATTAAAATTTACATTTTAATTACTCGAAAAACGTAAGATTCTATATTACAAAATAAAATACAAATCCATAAAACATAAAAATTGTAAAAAAACATACGAAAATAGTTGTTCTAAATATTAAAGGGGATTTCATCTAAAAAATGTGACTGCTGCAATATTTTTTTGTTGATTTACTAAATTCTAATTATATTTATGTCATAGAAAATTTCGTAATATATAAATATACATGTAAATCATAATACTGAACAGTGTGGCCAGATTTCCGTAGATGCTTGTCGCCAAATTGGCTGTCACATGTCGCCCAAAATCGCAGTGTTACCAGCGCCTTATAAATCGCTCAAAATCGTAATAATTTCTAGCGCCAGCACTAACTCGAAAAATTTAAAAAAGAATAATACAGCATTTTAAAAAAATATAAATACAACTTTGACGTCACACAGATTTTTTTAATTTTTTTTTTTTATATTATCTACTTGTGAAAATATATAGGTTGAAATAAACTGGGAGGACAAAACTTTTAAGATTTTTCATTAGGAACAATAAAACCGTCATTTACATGTAGCACCAAATCGATGAGGGACACCCGGTAGAGTCGTATTTCTGGGAAAGTGACTCAGATCGGCCGGCCCGCAAAGGAATGCGATGATTTGCTATAAAAATTTCATAATATTATTCAAATATTTTTATATCTTAATTAAATATATTCTTATTCTAACTTAATAAGGAAATTAATAAAACATAAAATTCCAAGAGAAGGTAAGAAAAAAAAAGAGAATTCAATAAAAAAATTATTAACTTCAGTTAAAAATTATTAATAACGGGTATTTCCTCCTCTAATTTGAATAACAGCTCGACAGCGATTATTTATGCTTATAATTACGTTCCTTATCTCGTTTTCATCCAAATTATTCCATATTTGGACAATATCTCCAGTAAGCCCATTTAAAGTGTTAGGAGGGTTAGGAAGTTCTTGAAAATGGCGGTAGATCATGTCGCAAATATTCTCAATTAGGTGAAGATCAGGACTGTTTGCTGGCCAATCCATAGTTTCAATTCCAATCTCATTAAAATAATTTTGCACAATCTGAGCAACATGTGGTCTAGCATTATCTTGCTGAAACAAAAAATTCTCACCAATTTAAGGGCCAAATGGTATCACATGTTCTTGCAGTATCTCCCTTATGTACTTATCTGCCATTATTAATAACCATCAAGCCAGTATGAACAGTTAAAGAGATTCCTCCTTAAAACATAACTGATCCTCCACCAAATAATCTGGTGTTTTGGAAGTTACATTGGGCATATCTTTCATTTGGTCTTCGATACGTCTATCTGAATTGTAGAAACAAAATCTGCTTTCATCTGACTAAAGAACTCTTTCCCAATCTTCTTCAGCCCAATCGATGTGTACTCTAGTAAAATTTAACTTTACTCTACGATACTCTGGGGTCAAAGCTGGTCCTCGCGCTGGGATTTTTGGTCTCAAGTCAAATTCAGCTAGGCGTCGATGAAATTCTGAGTCCATCAATCTGCTTCCTGTCACAAACTGTTGTCTTGAAGCAAAGAATCTTAAAAAACGGTCTTGAACCTGCATAGTTATGCGATGTCTGCCTAGACCAGGTCTTAAATGCTGACCTGTCTCCCTATAACATTCCATCATACGGCAAACGGATGTATGCAATACACAATCTCTGTCCAATTCTGCGAAAGATCCATCCCTCCTCCAGTAAAATAACTGCCTGGGCACACTCTTCGGCGGTCAAGTTTCTAGATTGGCGTTCCATAATAAACACTTTGCTTTACTGTACCTCACAAATGTAAATTTTTAGTACAAATAAAACATTTTAGCAATAAAACCTAAAGAAAAAGAGGTACCTATGTTAATTTAAATTTTATCTGAATTCTAACAAAATAAAGATAAGGTAAATAGACTTCCATAAAAAAAACCGACTGTATAAATTTAGAATGTGTGTACTATGGCAGTTTAAAATTAAAATAAAAATAGATATTTTAATTTTTATATGAATTTCCAAAAATAATTCGAAATAATTTAGTGGTGCGTTAATTTTGCTGGCCAATGTATGTATTGGTTTACGGTAGTCATTACATTTGGATAATTAATTATAATCTTTAATTTTTATAAAATTGAAGTGCATTATATACGTAATCAACGTTTTTTTTTTTATTAAATTATTTCATCTAATATTTTAAAACCATCGTCATTTTCTAAAACGGCTCCTTCTAAATTTTTATACATATCGGCATTAAATCTAACAACATATTTTTAATAGGCTGAAAATATTTACATTATATATCATTTAGTGAAAAATGGTATCTAATTTGTATAATAGCATTTAAAAGGAAGAGCATAATTTTCACCAAATTTCAAGAAAACATTTTTTTTTTTTTGTAAAAGATACAAAACCAACAACTTTGTCATTAAATTTTTTTGCATAGGCCTTGTAGTTTTACCGGAACTCGAGATAAACCGTTTTTACCCTTAAAAACTCACCCCCTTCCACTTTCCGACCTCGGATCGCCCCTAAATTATTTTTCCTTTCATTTTTGTTATATTCTCTTCCTTTTCCAATGGGTTTCATCTTACAATTATTTTTTTGGTTTCAAAAATTATCGACCCTGGTCTAACTAGCGCTTGCTGCACTTTGACGTGTGTCTATTTTACTCTATAAGAAACTGTAGACTGCCAAAATATGGCTGAAAAGCACACATTGCGGTACACTTATTTCTGTCCTAATGTAACACATTTGTTGACCAATCAAAGATCAGCCAAACTTTTCAATGCAGCAAAATATTCATTCGAATTTCACACATTTAAATGATAACATCGACGAAAAACAATGACAGTAAAGGCAGGCGATAGGGAGACTGGAAGAGTGGATAAAACAATATCAGTCTAAGAGAATTAAGAATTATAGACTGAGGCAGTGTAATATCTGAGTATCATGATAGACGAACAGGTGTATAGTGACTAAATTCCCGATTATTTATAGTTATTCATGTGTTTATTTGGATGTTATAAGCTGAAAGGATTTTTTTATCTGTTTAGGGAAAATTCTGGTAGTCAATTTATAGTCCAATATTGCTAGAGTTCTTCACATTTTGCTGTTCCACAAGAGTACTGGAAACTTCCCAGATGATGTCCCAGAATTAATACATGAAACTGAATCATAAAGAATAAAGAGTACTATTTCAAGAGAAAGCAGAAATGAACAAGAAGAGAGGGGGGATGTAAGGATGGATGCAGACAGAGAGGAAAGTAAAACAAATGTTAAAAGACAGCAACGAAAGGGAGAAGAAATCTGACAGTACCCAATGACAATGAGGAAAAAGCACGCAAAACTAAAAAGTATCAATAAAAGAATAGAGAATCAATTCCGATAATGAAAGTATGTAGAATTTTCTCAAAAAATTCTAATTAAATTATGAACTAAGATTAAATCAATTACAAAACAGGAAAAATATGGATCTCTGACATATTTTTTGCTTTTAGATGCAATAAAGTAGTTTTTAAAATGATGAAAAGGCATTAGAAGCAAACCATTTGACTGATAAATGTAATCTTATTTATTTTCAAAGGATTTTCTGGCTTTGCAGTTGGTAGTGGCGCAAATAAGTACCACAAGAATGTGAGTGGTACTACAAATGACGTCATTGATACTGCAAAATGTCTTATGTCAAAATAGCTACTTTTGAACGCATGCTATTGGTTCGCGACATACGAGATTTTGTAGGATTAAGGGCCGGTCAATTTGAATTATGAATTTGCATTAATCTAAATGTACACTTTTTGACATACGACTAATTGAAGAATAAACCACGATATGTACCACAAAAAAATGTCGCTGATATAAAGTATGAACTAAGAATTAATTATGCAACAGACAAATTTAATCTGAAGAATAATTATTAATTTTTAGAGGCAATAAAACAGTTTTTAGAGCGATAAAGAGGCGTAAGTGACAAATGATTGGACTGATAAATAAATACAAAAATTCTTTTTTTGGGATTTACTGGCTTGCCTGGTCGTGTTTGACTATTAATTGTCAAAAAAGTGTAAATGGTCTAAATATGTACCGCAAAAAAATGTATAAAGATGTAGCATAAACAAGATGGTGAAACAAATATGTACCACTAAAAATGTTTATGAACAAATATTTTTATCCAAAAATAAAGGTGATACAAATATGTACTTACAACCAATTTTAAAAAATAATACCTATGATTTAAAAATGTTGGATACTCATTATAGAATATTAAGGCTATAACAAGGCATTATAGTAACAAACGACTGATAAATATAATCTTACTTTTTTTGTAGGATTTTGACTTCCCTGTTCCTACTTGGCGACTTAGAAGTGAGCACCAGAAAAAAATACCATGAAAAATTTAATGGTATAAATTTGTACCACAAAAAATTGAGGTTGTACAAATATGTGAGTAATATAAATTAAATGGGTATGATTTTAAAATTTTGTTACTCGTTATAGCATATAGGCATCTAACAAAAAATACAAATTTAAAAATCGCATTTAAAGCAAAACCTAAAAGTGACAATAAAAGAACAGAGAAAACAAATTCAGACAATGAAAGAAAATACTCAAAAAAATTCAATCAAATTAAGATGGAATTAATAATTATGTAACAGGTTAAACATGATTCTGTTTTTAGCAGGAACAAAAAATGTAGATCGTACAAATACGTACAACAAAAAATGTTGGTGGTACAAATACGTACCACAAAAATGTAGATGGTACAAATATGTACCACAAAAAATGTTGGTAATACAACTAAAATGGGAAAGATTTTTAAATGTTGATACTCTTTTGGAGCGATAAAGAACCATTAGCAACAAACTATTAGACTTATAAATGTAATCTTACTTTTTTTGCAGGATTTTCTGACTCTCCTGTTCGTAGTTGGCGAGCAACTGCGGCATTACGGAGTCGATTGTATCTTTCAGTCTAACATTCAGTTGCACTAGTCGTTTCTCGCCCTCTTCTAGTTCCAGGAGTCTGGCGCGACGTATTAAAGTGTCCTTGGTGAAATTTACGTACTTGGTAAGGTGTTCATACACTTTAATTCTAGATTTGCTTAGTAGGACTTTGCTCTTCTTTTCTAAGCTAAAAAGACAAGTTGTGTGCGTGAAGAAAAAATTAGCCTCGGACATTGTCCATTAGCCACAGAATGATTATTATGTGTTTAAAAAAATGACGAGGGGTAAACAAAACTCACCTTAATAAAAGAGCATTAACTTCCTTCGTGAAAAACGCCTTTTTTCCTTCTCCCTTATAATTTATTCCGGCTTCTTTCAACTTAGAAACTATACTGGCGATGTCCGGCGGTAAATTATCTGGTAACTTGGTTTCCTCTTCTTTCCCGGGTTTGCGCACGTCCGTCTTGAAATCGCTATCGGTCGATAGCGATTCCTGAGAATCTAAAATCATATTTATTTTTCAATAGCTTTTAATAAATCATATTTCCAAAAAATAATAAATATACATATTTATGTAAATAAATTGGCTCCATGACAAAAAAGCACAGGACAAATGGCGCAGGACAAAATAACGCAAGGCCAAAATAGTGCAAGACAAAATAGTGCGGGACAAAATAGTGCAGTATATAAAATTTTGCACTATTTAAATATTCATTTCTTAGTGATTTTTTTTTTCGAAAATAGTGTGATATCAATTTATTATATTGTACCAAAAAAGTCTGAAAGTTTTTTTTTCATTAACGCTATTTTTTTATTTTCAAAATTAGAAACTTATTATTTCAATTTTAATATATTTTTTTAACCGCCACGTTATTCTTATTTCTTCTATTTTTTATTTGATAAATTAAAAAATCTTAACTCAAAAACTAACAATAATATTAACTTTTGGCAAAAATCAAGCTATATAAGATGAATAAATAAATAAAAATAGGGAGATAAGGGGGTTGGAATATTGATAAAAACAAAATCCTAACTCAGAAACAAAAAACTTTATAAGGGGATGAAACCTATTATTTCTGAAAAAAAAATACTATTGAAAATGGGGATTAAGGGGGCTTGTTAAACTGTGAATAGTTTAATATAGAATTCCAAGCATTATCTTCATTTTAGTTTATTAATTTGTATTGTATTGCTGCGATTTAAGTATACTCATTAGCGGGGTCTTTTTTTTTTTAGAAAAGTTCAAATATTTTGATAATAATCTTATTATTTAACTTACCGGCGGCTTTCTTCGTCATATTAGTGACATTCGCCGTACTCAAATCCGCAGCTAGTCCATTCTGGCTTTGGTTCTTATCCTGATTCGCGTCCACAATGACTTGCTTGACGACGGACTCTATGGCATCAGTAACGCTGGATATATTCATCGGTCTCTTATTCTCCTTAGATGATTCTTTTTCAATGTTATCCTCGACAGTCTTCAGCTCCTCGGGCACGCTCATGTCCAGATCTTCCCGTTTCGCTCTCAGCAAATCCTTGACGGTTTTCTTGTGTTGTTGCTCTAACGATTGGAATTTCTTCACTTGTATCTTGTTCTTGCTGAACAGTTTCTTCTTGATGGCGTGCTGCATGGTGGTGGTGGTGGTCGGCGGAATTTGGGATTGTAATAATTTGGCTTTCTTTTCCTTATGGTTGTTGGCAGTGTCGCTATCGCTGTCCTCTGAAGTCTCTAAGACGCGTTTGCGGATTTTCGTTTTGGCTTTGTCTTCACCTTAATCATAATCGTTCAAATTAACATATGTGAAATTGTTATTAGAATTTATAAAATATTTTCGATATGTTGCAAAAGTGTTAAAACCTGTGTATTAAATTGGTATAAATATAAATGCATATAAACTGCCTAGTGGTTAGTTAAATTTTCGGTAGTGGTTTACATAGGGTTTAATATCGTGAAATTTTACAACATATAATTACTATATTTATTGAAAACGTGGATTAATTCAATTCGAATGAATATTTAAAACAAGATAATCTAGCAGGAAGACTGTAGTAAAACAAAAACAATTAGCATGCGAATAATAAAAATAATATACTCTCTAATTCACCCCCATGAGTGAATTAATATTTTTCAAAACAAATATAAAGCACAACGAATTGACATTGTTTGACCATTACACAGAAAATTCGATTAAAGATGTTACTCATCAAAAAAGAGGATCTTCCAAATAAATTAATAGGATTATTACTAATATAAACGTCCCGCTTCCACAACAATGGAATTTATTTATTCATTCAATATTTAATAAAAAACAGTTAACTAATTTACAGATCCCATGATTCTAAGATACAATTTGCAATGAGTGGCGGATTTAATAACATTACAAATTTTAAATCCAATATTGACTTTGGTGACCAAAAACCGAAGACTATTAGAAATAAAACCAAGGAAGAAGCTGACACTAGAATTCTACTTCACTCACTTTCTGCTAAAACTGAAGGTTTTTCTACATGCATTATTGATTCCAATGATACCGATGTGTACTATTGTGGTGTATTTTAAACAATTTCTTCCGAGCGAAATTTTGTGAAAAACCGGAATCGAAAATTATACTCGTTATATGGCAGTTCATGAAATATCTCTTAAGGTGATTCTTACTTTTGAAAATAGACTTAAATTTTAAGGATTTTTATTAAGGAATTGTAAGTGATCTACTATTCGGATGTTATTGAAAAAAATAAATGTTATATAAACAACTGAAACTTAGATTGCTCTTCATTCAAAATTATCAAAAAATAAATAGAAGACACATTAATAAAATTTAAAGTCGGCTTAATCTCGTCCATAAAAAGTATTACGCGTATATTTTCATAAATATCAAAAAAACGAAAGAAGAGCAGACTTTATTTATATATTCTTAATATGCTTCTAAAATTTCAATTAATTTGATGCCATAGAATTGTCACAATTCCATTATAAAAATGCATTGTTTTTAATGCAAAATCCAAGCAAATACTCTTCTATCCTTCGCATGCTTTCTTTTTTGTCATAGAGACGCGGCGGCCAGCAACAAGAAGTGATTGGGCGCCATGAGTGCACGTGTTTCTGTGTTTATAATTTTTTTTGTAGCTCAAAGAACTTTTGAACTTTGAATTACTTTAAATTTGGTACAAAACTCATCTGAAAATGGTCAAAAATTAAAAAAAAAATAAAAAGAAAGCAAAATTATAATTTGATAGAGGGAGTATTTGGGATCGTTAAATTTCTAAAATGAAAAATACATTGTGTCTCGAAAGGAAAGGGACACGGAACATCAACAGATTATTTACATAAAACTATGAAAATGTAGCTAAATTTATCTATTTAGACTAAATTTCAAATCAGATACAGGGTGCTCGAAAAAATTATTGAATTTTTTTTTAAATTGATTTGGAAAGAATCGTATTTTTTTGGCTTTACACTTAAGGCTGGGAAATGGACTAAAAATGGCGGCCGTTTCTGTCATTTTACAACGTTTTACTAAATCATGCTTTTTAGATTAATAAAGAAACATTACAAGGAAATTGAGTTATAATTATAAACAGCAATGTTGTAAGAATGAATTGAATATAAACATATTCGATAATAACTAATCATAATTTCACATTATCACTAAAAACTTGAAAAATTTTATTGCAAGGATTATTAAGCAAATTGTTTTCAATTAATTCACTATGATTTTTTATTAACTATCCTACAATATGACGGCTGTCGGTCCAATAATTATTACAAAAAGCATGATTTCAATTTGCAAATTTTGACACAATTTTTAAAATTGACGCGTTAATTATCATGTCATTTTAGTACATCGTGTTCACCACCAATGCGACATGCAAGGCTGAGTTAACATATGCATTGGAACTTGGACGACAACTAATGGTTGCCAATCAGAAAAGTAAACGTCATATGTCAAAATAATGGCTGACAAATTAGAAATGCAAACGGCATGTCAAATTATTTCAAAGTACAATACGAACCGACGTTCAAATATACTTGCATATGATAATACGACGTTGCCGTTCTATGTATGTTTACAATGGTTTTAAAGATATTTATTGAGTGACAAAATCTTTCTCCATGGACAAAATCGGGAAGCTTTTAAGGCACAAGCACTTTTGTTAGTTGACAAGAATTAAAAAAAAAAAAAAATAGTTTTGTACGCTCTCAAACCTGCTTTAAACAGTGTGTGCCCGTGTGTGCCAATAAGTTGGATACATGTGATTTTTTTTTAAATATTACGATTGGAACAAAACATGGTAGACCAATCATCTCTGGTTATTTAAAAACTTAAACTAACCCATATCAAATTTGACAAGTGGAATTAGTTGTCAGTTTCATTAAAAAAAGGATTTTTGAGCGAATTTTCAAAATTATTGCGAATTTGACAGGTTTAAGTAATGTACGTAGCCAACTTTTTAAATAATCAGAGGTAAATAACGTTTTTTTCCGGTTATAATATTAAAACAAATTGCCATATATATATGGACCCAACTTTATTGCACTCACTACGTCATATACGTGCCATGAAGACTAATTTTAAGAATTGAAGCCAATGAAGTGATGTGCAAATGGATATTTTTCTGCAAGATTAATTTTGAGTTTGTTTGAAGTAGTTATTATAATCAGTTTTATTAATGTTAATTGTATTGGTTTATGAACAATTTTAATAAAAACTAATTCAAAACAAAAAACAAAAATACCTAAATATTTTTGTTTATTGCAAAAATAATTATTGATAGGACAAGGGTGGAAGGAAATATAAAAAATAATTAGACATAAAACAATTAAAGAGTAGTTTATTAGAAAAAAGATTATAGTATATGTTGGAAAATTATTCTCCGCCAGAATATATCAATTATTTTACTCCTCTTTCCCCTACGCCGCTAGTCAGCGAATTTAAATATATTTGTTTCTCTCGCCCCTTATTACATAATTAAATGCTAAACCGCATCTAACATCATGCAACCAACATCACATTTGCGTCTGATTGGTACTATTGGTAGTTTATGACCTAATTCCAACCAACCCTGGCAATTCGCTCTCATTTTCTATCTCCTCTGATAAACAGTGCAATCTCGGGCATCGTTTAAATAGAAGCAATGGGTGTGCTCGTCATAATATGTGAGTTTTCCCGCACTTTGTGGGCGTTAGCCGGCCGGCGTTCTTATTTATCGGAAAAAGTGAATTAAAACTTATTAGCTCGGGGTGTTATCAAGTAAAACATTTTATAAAAGCAAGTAGCCTCACACTAGACATACTCTATCATTGTTTGAGCCTGTGTTTTGTATCAACAACTTGTCCTTTTGTTGTATACCGAATAATATTGTAATAAACTCTATTAAAAGAGGTGTAGCAATTTGAATACCCGAAACCAGTAAAATCTAATCATACAGTCCATTAAAAAACACACAAATATAGGGAGAAATCAGAAAATTACCCCATATTTGCGCAGTATATTTCAATAAAAACAACCTAAAATATAATGCAGATGTCAAAATATTGGAAATTAATCCTTTATATATCTTTCAACATTAAATTTTTGTTATACTTTTATTCCTTGAAGAACTTTGGAACCAAACGACTTTTGGGAACACATGACTTTCCAATTGCACATCTTATTTATCTTCCTCTTTCTACTCGGGACATTTGTATGATGCCCCATATTTTATAAGGTAAAAGTTTATACACCAACTACTAAAACGTACTATCACTAAATATATCCTTATAAGTTATAGAAGTCTTATAAAAGTAACAAAATCACAAATAACGAAAAAGCACAAAAAAATAACAACGCCCACTCATTAATGTGCCAAAATTCAAACACGAAATACGAACTGTTTACGTTTTGTCGTTTAGACTTCAATCCTTCGACATTCGACTCTTTTGGCTTGTCAGTTGCCAGAGACAACTACCAGTTGCTTAGTTCCGAAATTCATAATAATATTCATATTCAATCGATTGTTAATTTTCATAATTTATGTCTAATCAACAAAAGCATGAGCGATCACGTTATTGTCAAAGTATATTTTTACTTAAGTAATATCATGATGCATTTTAGAGGTACCATTACCTAATAAGGGTGAGATTACAGAACGTCTACAACTTTGCAGATCTGCAACTTTTCAGATCTGCAAATATGGCGGACTTACAAATGCAAGTATTCCAAAAAATATCTGCAAATTCGCAATATTTATTGTGATTTATTACCCCCAACAACACTAAACCCAAATTTGGAATACGAAAACTTGCATATGTAAGTCAGTCATATTTGCAGATTTTCAAAGTTGCCGCCATATTTGCAGATCTGCAAAGTTGCAGACGTTCTGTAATCTCACCCTTAGTAGGCATAAAAAATTAAAAATTATTATTTTATTATCGAAATGAATCTAGGAATTATTCAAATTATAAAATAATCGATTTATATTTATAGAAGTTTTGCAAATTTTTAGGTAAAATGTAAACAAAACCCTTCAAATTAGGAAAAACCATAAAGTAATAAAATTTCTACCCAACCATAAAATACCTTTCACTTCAACCCAAAAATTGCGATGTGGAAAAGATCAATTGCCCCGGTTCTTTAGGATTAAAATTATTATTATGACAGTCAAATATAGTTTACAAGTGAATACAATATACCAGTAATGTGAATAAATGTTGAAATATTATTCTAAAGTAAAATTTAATGGTTTTTTTTTCTTCTTCTTGTCACATTTAACATACTTACTACTTACCAACTAGGTACAAGTTTTGACAGATTAATTTTTCATGTAACAGTGCAATTATTAAATTGAAACTGGGTATCACAAATTACATTATTCTTCTAAAACATTTATTGATATCTGTCGACCTAGATTTGGCAACCTGGGGTAGTATTCTCGAGTCACGAACATAGATTCACATGCGAGATTTAGGATTTGTCTCACTTGGTTTTCGTTCAACAAAGTGAGACACATTGTAAAACACGTATGCGAATGTCGGTATTCGTGATTCGAGAATACTACCCCTGGATATAAAAAAATGTACGCTTAAAAATAAAATTGTAATAGGAGCTAGAGGTACAGGTATTGCCATCTATGTACAATGTATTGAATACTTGCTTTGTTGCAAAACCGCTGGCTCAAATGTCGCAGCCTTAAGTGGCAGTCCAATTGACTTTCAGTAAAAAAAAATATTTTGAGAAAAAAATGTTATTTGGTGTATACCCCAATACCCCCCCCCCCCCAATACGAGATAATTAGGATTTTTATATAAAAATTGGAAAGTTATTTTTTTATTACAAAAAAAAGAGATAATTATTGTAAAAAATCAGTCAGCGACCCCATAGAGGTCGCTGTATAACAGTTAGTGACCCCGTAGGGGTCACTTTTTAATATTCAGCGAACCCGTAGGGGTCGCGTTATAATTAACAGCTACCCCGAAGAGGTCGCTTTATATTAAATAATCGTTTTCATCTTGTCAGCCTTCTTTAATTACACCTTCTAGCATGTTCCGCTGAAGAGACACTATAACTTTTTCCAAGATTATCTTGTTTCAAATATTCATGAATTAAATTAATCAATTTTTTTTCTATATTAAATCCCTTTTAAAGATTTAGTCGAATAATATATAAACAAGTCTACTGTACATATTAAATTTTGTATTAATAGAACCCTGTTTTTATTTTATTGAAGTATAATGGTAATAATTCTAAATACCTTCGCTCTCGGAAGAAGATGAGTCGGAAGAAGCTGAGGAAGAAGAGGAAGCTTGCGAACTGGCCTCATCATCAGTCTTAAATACCAAAGCGCCTGAATTCACGTAAAAACCACCGTGGAGCGTGGTTACGTTCTGTGGTATAATTTCATCATATCCATCGGTGTTGTCTATGAACGAATCCGTTTCGTCGTAACCCATCCCGATATCAGCGTAATCGTCTTTCTTGCCTTTTCGCTTCTTCTTGGGTACTCCCGGAGGTGTCATTCCGGAGCCCTTAAAAAATATAATATACAAAGATCAACTTTGGTTGATCCACATTTTACAAATATTGAATATAAAAATGTTCAAAATAGTTTCCTATCAGATCATTCACTACAACTCTGTGAATTCAACTTGCAAATAACAAATCAGGTAGAAATTACACAATCTTTTGTTAGGGATTTAAGTGATCGTAACAAGCTTATCTTTAAAAATATAATTATTAACGAGTCATGTGAAGACATGTATAACTCATCTGAGTTCAATTACAAATTTAACAGCTTTTATTCGACTTTTTTGTACCATTTCAACAACGCTTTTACATTTAAAAAAGTTAAGCCTAAAGGACACAAAAATAATTTTTAAAACGCGGAACTAAGTGCACTGCGAGAGATGCTGTGTGAATTACATAGTATATACATAACTAGTAATAATGATACTATTAGGGATAGATATAAAAAACTCAAAATAATTTATGATAATAAAGTCAAACCAGCAAAACTTTCCTATAATAATAAAAAGGTAATTAATGCAAAAAATTCAATAAAAGAATGTTGGAGAATTGTAAATTACCACTAAATTTCTCGCTTAATCGTGGATAATCTCCAATTTTTTGTTAATTTTCATTATATATAACTTCTCTACTTTCTAATAGTACATAAAATATTTTGAAATTCGTGTGTCTTTTATGTCGAATGTAAACGACAGCGAGGAAGGAAAATAACACAGGGAACCTTAAGTCCTCACCGAGTTATTTGGGAATAGCCAGGAAGGAAAACTAACACAGGGAACCTTAAGTCCTCACTGAGTTAATTGCGGATATCTAGGAAGGAAAATAACACAGGGAACTTTAAGCCCTCACTAAGTTATTTGGGAATAGATAGGAAGGAATACTAACACAGGGAACCTTAAGCCCTCACTGAGTTAATTGCGGATAGCTAGGAAGGAAAATAACACAGGGAACTTTAAGCCCTCACTGAGTTATTTGGAAATAGCCAGGAAGGAAAAATAAAAGAACTGAGATTTTTATATTCAAAACAGGAAATGATACTCTCCCCTTCGGTAGAACAAAATCCCGGACAGTCAAACTAAACAAATAAAAAAAATGAACAATATTCAGTTCCTGTATTTCTCACGGTTAGGAATTTAACAAATCTATTTTTTTAAAGTCTATCTAAATTTAAAAAAAAACGAAAGGAAATAAACACTCTTAATTCCTATCTTTTCCCAATATTTAATAATTCTATTTACAAAGTCGATTTATATCTGAAGCAGTCCTCACCGTTCCAAGAGAATAATAAAAAAAAAAATATAAACACGGCCAATATCCAAACAAGAAAATATTCTTCAACTGTTAATTTAATTATTAAATTTCGGAATATTCAAAGAAAATTATTTACGCGTTAAAATGTTATTCTCAAAAGGTGTTTAAATCTACCTAATTTGATTTTTTGTATTTGCTGCGGTAAACAAAACGGTTTTGGCACGCGGCGCTGCTATTACAGTTATCGACTGACTCTTTCGATCGCTCGGAATGGAATTAAAAATGTTTCTCTCGCTGTTCTCGATCTCGGGTCGAAAAATATTTACCAATGCCCCGCGCATGATCAACTTAAGAGGGAGAAGGTATCCGAGAAGGGGTACGGTGCTGGGTGCTGACGTTCATTCTCGTTTAAAATATTAAAAAGGATAAATTCCCAAATCTACAATTTTGTATAATATAAATTCAAAACCCTGGTTTAAAATGACTTGAAAATCATTGCTATATTGTGAAAGTACTATGGATTTTCGGATTATTATATATTTCAAAATAATAGATACAGGGTGAAGCCAAAAAGTTGATTTATAAATTAAAATAGTAACGAATAATTGATTTTATTAAATTAATATGCCGGATTCTAATGAAAGTTAGATTTAAAATCATTATTAAAAATACTAATTTTCGGCAATTGAATAAAAAAAATGGTAATGAAAAATGACTTCATTACAGCAGATGACACAACTTTTGGAACATCAGTAAAAAATGCATCTGAACTTCAATATATTGCTAATAGTACCTGCACATGAATTTTATGGTTATTGTCTTAAACTTCAGTTCATTAGTCTGGGTGATACATTTTTTTTAAACTATTATCGTGAGATCGCTTGAAGCCGACTCTGTTCTTTGTTTACTACCGTACCCACGACAGGAAATCTAGCGAATCGAATGTTTCCTATCGCAGTCTGACGCGTAGAGAATAATTTCCAGAATTTCTAGACTGAACTTCTAGTCGGAGTTGGTTCTTTCTAGAGTGTTTTATTTTTGCATAAATGGCGCGGCTTTGTCAGTAGACGTTAATTTTCAATATAAGTATTGTATAGTAAAGATAAATTGTATAAATAAATTAGAATTGTGAGTTATAATAGTTATAATAAATGAACTATTTTTAAATTAAACCATTGTTACACTATTAAATAAAATTATAACTATAAATATTGAATGACTGTTTAAAATATTCCAAAAATACAACAAAATGATACTTACATATTTTGCTTCCATTTGAAGTGCAATTCTTCTGACATCATCATCATTGTCTCCAAATGGATCCAAGCCATTTTCCAAATCGTTTGTGTTAGGCCCTTTGTTTTGCTTTACCTTTTTCTGTAATAAACAAATTAATATTAAAAAAAATCTTCAATCATGTTTATTTATTGGATATTAATGTGAGGTATGTTTGTGAGTGAATGACAGTTTATTCACAATTAAGCAAAAACAATTTCAATGTCATTTCATTTTGTTCATGTTGATTTTTGTAATTAATTTTACATTTTTGAAGAGAGAATGAAAAAAACCTTTTAAATGAGGTATCACAAGCTCCTACGTACAATTATTTTTTTTGTCATTCAAAGGGGGTTGAAATTTCAATGTTAAAGGATTTCATTTCAGAATCTAGATAATTTTTTATAAATAGATACCATAATTGATAAACTGAATTTATTCAATTTGGCTGTTCCACACTGTATACCTACTTTCTTTAAACAAAACAATATTGGGTAAGTACTTATTTGAGTATATTTTAAAAATAATTTTAATAGTACTTAGGATAAAGTTATAAAAAAAATATAATGATAGTAGATTGTATTATAAATATTTACAATAATTAATTGAAAATATTTAATAATGGATATTGATAATAATAGTTTCTCAAATTCAAGTGATAATGTTAATACTTTAATAAATAAAAAAATTACTACTTAATGTCTATTTGACAAATGGGCTATAATATGTTATAGCCCAAGAGCCCACTGCAAATTTTTACCGTCATCTGATAACGAAATGAAATATACCCCAAAAGCATGGAAAAATATTGTACTTTACTAAATGGCACCTGTGCCAATCCCAATCCTGAGCAAAGTGGCTTAAAAAAATTATTTTATATTAAAAAAATCACATAAGGCATGACAGCGCTAATTTTGTTTGCCCTTAAAGTTTTCCAGAAAATATTATTTAAATATATCTTGATATATATCGTTAAAGGGAAACATTTTCTTCCTCTTAACATCGCACAAAAACATCTATCCACGATTAGTAGGTAAATATCATTAAAAATATGAATCAATGTTCGCTGATTTAAACATTTATTTGTATGCCTATTGTTGTGATTCATTTTCACAGGTTGCCATAGAAACGACAAAAAAACTACTATGATTATGGTTTAAAATAATTGTCTAACAAGATTTTATAATTATTATTGACTATCTCTGCAAATGGTTTATACAATGCCATCCTTCTTCCTTTCATACATAAACATGGTTTAAAAGGTAGGTAAAAATATTAATAATTCAGGTTTAAAAGCTAGGTTCACAATGAATTAGGATTGTAATTTTCAGGGAAAATATAATTGTCGCTGTCATGTTTTATGTGATTTTTTGAATATAAAATAATTTTTTTTAACCACTTTGCTCAGGTTAGGGATTGGCACAGGTGCAATTTGGTAAACTACAATGTTGTTACATGCTTTTGGAGCATATTTCATTTCGTTATCAGATGACGGTCGAAATTTGCAGTGGTCTCTCATACTATTAAGAATATTGAAAATATTTAAATACAGAGTTACATATCTAAGATAAGTGTACCAATAATTGACAGGAATACTGGAATACAGTAATTGACACCTGTTCAATTATTACTCTTCAAATATAAAAACACAAGGACTCGATATGATCAATTTCTCTGAAATGTCAGTATTATAAGAATATTTAACTACCATGCCCATGCAGCCCACATAATGGATAGTACGTGGCTCTATAGTCAGTTACAAAATGGTGAAAAGAGCAGTGTTCCATTTAAGGATATACCGGAATTCCAGAGGAACTTTCGAAAATTTTAAACTAGGTTATATAAAAGCAAAAAACTAGGAAAACATTTTGAACTTTATCAAATTAAAAGTCGTTATAAAGCAATGATTTGTTTTTTGTTTTTGGACTGTTGTCAATTTTATATTTTGGTACCTATAGAACTGCAAAATTTGCGGCAATTGCGGACTTTTCTATTTTAGACAGATAGAACTTTTAAAATAACTTGAACGGTTGAAATACTTTCGTATAGGTCCCGATCCGGCCAGATTTCCAGCAATCCGGAGTGTATTTATGCTTTTTTTAATGTAAAACCAAGCTGGGATTTGTTTGTTTTCATTGGGTAATTATTTATTTTGAAGTTTAAGGGTTAGACGAGTCCAAAGGGATTTTTGCTTTCATCCTTTATTGTTAAGTTCATTTATTATTTTTTAATGTAAAAGTAGAAAATGTATCGCATTCATAGAGTAATTATTTTTTATATTTTTAATGGTTTATTTTACCCTGTCTTACGAGTCTCGAGGGATTTTTGCTTAAACTGTATGTTAGTAAGTCTACTATTGATTTTTTTAAATATTAAACACTTCACAGCATAATTATTTTATGAATTTTATGGGGTAATTTTACCCTGTTGAACGGACCCGAATAAATGTTTACCTATAGCGTATGTTAGTGTATTTATGATTTTTTAAATGTAAAATTAAATTGGAATCTGATTTCCTTCGTAGGATAAATATTTTTATCAATTTTAAAGGTTATTTTCAACCGTTTATTAATTATTTGTCGATATTAATCTGTAAAATACATATTGACAAGATTATTAAAATAGTTGTATGCCAGACGGCACTTTTTTCCCGATCGGGTGTTTTCGTTTTTTTTCTACTCCTAAAAGTTACTGCTAACTTCACACCGGTCTATTTTTAATTCTAATATTTTATTGTAAATTAATCAAAAAAACAGGTAATTTTATTTTTAAATAACTACATTACTTGGAACATTATTTTAGATACTTTTTATTTCACCCTGTATAACAGAAGCCCTTTGAATCATCAGTAGATATTAAAAATCCATCTAGGTATATTAATTTTGTTCTTAAAACTATCCAACTTCAATCACATACCAATTTTTATTAAAAAAAAAGGCCGAACCTGAAGAAATTAATTTTTGAAAATTGTATTGTTTCAAGTCCACTCCCTATACTCCCATCTCTTCCATACGATACTCCCATTCGAGCAATCAAAAACAATGAATCATCCACAAACGGAAAGCTACCAAACAAAACCACATTAGAAATGTATGAAGCAGTCTATGGTCTAATTCTACAGTTGCATAGGAACTGTTTTCCGGTGAGATGGGGAATCCAGGGGCGTACACGCAAATGTAGAAACCATGTTGGTGAATAAATAACATAAAAATACTATTAGAACTACAAAAAATTATGTTGATTTTGGATAAGTAACTATTAATATTTTTTTAAGTACTTGATTAAAATAATTTCATTAGCAATTTGATGAATAATCTAAAATTAGGTTAGGTTAATAGCAAAATTCCGATAGGGATTGTTTACAAATAGATTGGAATTAATTATTGTTTTTGTAATATTAATATTATGTAAATTTTTCTATAGATACCACACGTATACATATACATATGTTAAAACTAAAAGATAAACTTTCAAATTTTACAAACGTATAGATTTTATACCTGAAAATACAACGGGAAGGAACTCATCAAGGATATATCGCTGCCCCAGTTCAAAGCTGTAACATCTCAAAAATTTTAAGGTTTGAGATAAAAATGTATTCTAAGCAAGAAGGGTAAGATCTATTACAATAATTCAACATTTTAATATCTCAAAATATTTATTTTTCCATTTATTTTAATAATAAATTACAAATTAGTAAAAAAATCTTACAAATTAGAAAAGAAAAATTTTTAAAGTCATTAATGGCTGATTTGGAGATGTTACACTTTTGAACTGGTCAAAGGAGCTCAAAGATGGTGCTTTTTCAATTCATACAAAAGGAAGATGGTTGTATACGGGGTGACGCATTAGAAACAGTCCACCTCAAATATTATTGGCGGGAGGTTTTTGCGACAAACCCCGAGACACGTCGATTTTGTTATCGAGGGGGACAACTTTTGAACGTTATCATGGTATGGGGGGTCGAGTGGCTCATCATTTGAAAGGTATTTCGATTCCCTTTACAGACATGCTAACGTTTTTGTGTTGAATCTCTTTACAAACATGCTAACATTATTGTGTTGTGTTAAAATTAATGCCAAAAACCAGCTGGAATTGTGGGTGAAAGAAAATAAGAGTTATTTCACGACATGCCACAGTTATCCAGTGGAGAAGATCTTCTAAAGAGTTCGGTTGCATTTTGTAAATAACATATTTTAAATTACCTCATAAAAAGAAGTCCAACGGTGTTAGATCTGGCGATCTTAGGAGCCATTCAACAGAACCTCTTCTACCAATCTAATGTGGGGAAAAATGTTGATTTAAAAAGTCACACACAGGAGCTGCATAGTGTGGTGGAGCGCAAAAAAATCATTATTTCCACAATGTGAGGGTAGATGTTGTCTTCGAGCAAATTAAGATAAGAGGTAGGAAATACGAACCAACAATATTATTTCCAAAAACCCTTGCTTATACATTCAATTTTTGGGGATTCTGTGTATGTTGTTCTCTCATAATTGAGGATTTGCATCACTCCAGTATCTGCAATTATGTCTGTTCACATGACCATTAACAAAGAACATGCATTCATCAAAAAAGCATGTTGAATATAACTGTCACTTGATATCCTTTAATAGGAAGATCAACAGGATTGATTATTTCCTTTTTTCCATTATTTAGCTAGTTTGCTATTATCACAATATACAAATTTAGTAAAAATATACCTATACATATAAGTCAAAACATAGATAATTTAGATACAATTAAAACTAACTAAAATTCTATAGGTTGGTACTGTTTCTGGAAAAATATTCATCAATTAAGAAATCTCTCACTTTGACTTTAAATGTAGTTACAGACGTTCCTGATTTAATTTTCTCTGGAAGTGCATTATATTGATTTAGACCTTTAAAAAATAGTGAATTTTGTGTTGCACTCTTAACAACTGTTTCAATATAAAAGTTATGTCTGTTCCACGTTGGATAATTGTGCACATTAGAGTGATAATTAAGCTTCTCTTTTAGGTACATTGGACCCGTGTTTTATTTTATAAATAAAAATTAATGCAATCCATAATAAGAGACTTTTGATTGGCATCCACCTCAAAGTTTCAAGCATTAGAT